ACCAGCAGGCTCCAAAAATGGGTCTCAATTCCGGTCCCGTTTTTGGTCTCCAAGCTGCGAGGCAATGGAGTGGTCAGAGGCGGCGGTGAAGGGAAGCACTCCACCAGCGCGCCGCGACCACACTGCTGTCTTCCTTCCGGAGCGGGAGCAGATGCTGGTCTTTGGGGGTCTCGGTGCGCCCCTGAGTCCTTGGCCGCGCGGCCGCGCGAGGGTCCCTTTTTTCGGAAAGCCTGCCACGCTCTGCAGCTTGAGCCGAGGAGAAGCATGCAAATGCACCGGCCCCAGGGGGGCGGGCCTCTGTCGAGAGAGAGTTGCGATGCTGTTGCGAGCGAGCAGCCCTGCTTGAGGCTTGGACGATCTCTGGATCCTCGACATGAAGGCGCGAGACCCGTGCAAGGAGCACAAGCTTTGTTGCTGGTTAACATGTCCTGAAGTGTGTGTTGGTGCACTGCGGTTGCTGCTTGCGGGGCGCGGCAGCAACAGTTGGTGCTAGACCAAGGACGAGCGTTGAAGAGTCTGAAAGTTTCTGACTATTTATCTCGCCCCCCCCTCGTCCCAAGACCCCAAACTGAGGCTGACACTGAAACCCATGCCTTTAACCAGGGGACTGGTGACAGGATGAGCGCTCACAGTTGACTCAGCACGCAGACACCTGGAGCTTTCCATGTCCAGGTTCCTTAGCTTGCGCTCCAAAGCATGCGCACACCCCGCATGCAGCATCGCACGTCTTTGCGCTCTCCCAAATTGTTGTTTCAGCATGCAGAAGGCACACACTAAGGCTGCGTTAACGACAGCGCAATGACCACGCCCTGTCATCCCATGCCACATAGGCCGAGGTCAGTGTGAGTTCGAGGTTTTCCAATCTGAGCCCCGATGAATCCTTGGCAGGGAATGGCTGCCGTAGTCCAGGGCAGGGAAACTTCCCGAAGGGGCACGCAGATGGGCACGATTGGACCCTGAAAGCGGCTTCCAGCGAGCCTGTCGGAAGATTCCTGAGCCCCAGTTCAAAGAGAGAGGCATGCTCACAGGATGTGCTGGAAGCAGGCGAGTCGAGTGCGGAAAGAGTGATACTCCAAGCTTCCAGGCCATGGAGTGGTCAGAGGCGGAGGTGAAGGGAAGCACTCCACCAGGGCGCAAAAGCCACACCGCTGTCTACCTCGCAGAGCGGGAGCAGATGCTGGTTTTTGGGGGTTACCGTGCGCCCCTGAGTCCGCGGCCGCGCGGCCGCGCCAGGGTCCCTTTTGTGGAAAGCCTGCCACGCCCTGCGGCCTGAGCCGAGGAAACGGCGTATGCACCGGCCCCAGGGGGGCGGGCCTCTGTCGAGAGAGAGTTGCGATGCTGTTGCGAGCGAGCAGCCCTGCTTGAGACTTCAACGATCTCTGGACCTTGGACATGAAGGCGCGAGACCCGTGCAAGGAGCACAAGGTTTGTTGCTGGTCAAGATGTCCTGAAGTGTGTGTCGGTGTACTGCGGTTGCTGCTTGCGGGGCGCGGCAGCAGCAACTGACAGATCCAGCATCTGACTCAGCGCGGAGCTGATTCTGGGAGGGTGGGTTCCTTGATGTGGGGCCTGAAGGCAGCTGAGGCGTACGAGTGGTGAGTTGGGGGCTTTCGGGTGGCAGCCTGGACCCTACAACGGTCAATCAATGCGGAAACCGGATTTCGAGCGCGGCATGAACGATGCCAGAGTAGCAGCAGCGTAGTCGTCGTCGTCGTCGTCGTCGTGCTTTGCTGCTGCAGCTGTGGAGCGCATTGTGGCATTGTGATACTTGTTGCAGGTGGAAGCCCTGTTGGAGTGCTTATGTGCATGCGGCTCATAGCCTATTGGTGGTGAGTGGTGGTTGGCCTCGTTAACAGGGTCCCAGAGGTAGAGTGAATTGCAGAGGTCTCCCGCAACATGAAGTCTACCCAGCGAGGAGATGCCAGATATGTATGTATGCATGCATGCATGTATGGACGCATGTACAGGCCCATAGAAGGCTGCTTGGACTGCCTGGACTCCATCACGAAGCGCTGTTCTTTGAATCGTTTATTCTCTCATGGCCTTATCCGCTGAATGCACGGGCTATGTTGCCCAGTCTCCCTTCCCCGCACCGGCATCCCCGGTCCCCATGTCTCGCAGTCTCGCACACCCCCGTTGACGGGAAGGGGGACAGCTCACCACTCTGCAGCTGGTGGCCGGAGATCCGGGTTTGGTGCATGTGGAAACTGCAACTTGTACTTTTTTAATGTCCCACCTGCCGAATGGGCATGGATTTCATCATAGTTAGGTCTCAGCTTCCGTCTATACCGGTAGTAACCGGTAGTATGGGCCCCAAACTACATTGTTATTCCGTTAAGGATCCGCAAACCTGAACGTAATCTCGTTGCTCAAGATGATGAAACCCACGTCCCAACCAAAGAACGGGCGACAGGATGAGCGTGGGCGATTTCATGTTGGCTCAGCCACACAGACTTTCGGAGCTTTCCAGGCATGTCTAGGTTCCTTATAGCCTGCGCTCAATAGCATGCCCACTCCCCACATGCAACCGGGGGACATCCCCGCGTTGCTGAGGGCTTCCCCAAATTGCTGTTTAGCGTGCGTGCGGGAAGCGGACGTGAAGCAGAAGGCAAATTAAGACCAAAGCCGTGTCGAGGACAATGCAAGTCCCAGCTTCGAGCACTTTAAGTTCGAGGCTTTTCAGTCTGAGCCCCGATGAACCCTGCGCAAACCAATTGCCGGGAATGGCGTAGTGCAGTGCAGGGAAATACCTTTCGAGAAATCTGTTTGCAACGATCTTGCCAGAGTTGGGCAAGAAAAGCATCGATGCTCCCAAGTCCCAAGTGCCCGTCGGAAGATTCCGGAGCCCCCCATCGTCCCAACACCCCAAACTGAGGCTGACACTGACACCCATGTCTTTAAGCACGGGCGCTCAGCAGCATGCGCACACACGCCCCGCATGCAGCATCGGACGTCTGCGCTCTCCCAAATTATTGTTTCAGCAGAAGGAGCGGACCACGCCCTGTCATCCCATGATATCCCATGACGCATAGGCCGAGGTCAGTTTGAGTTCGAGCCACCGATGAACCCTTTGCCGGGAATGGCTGCCGTAGTCCAGCGCAGGGAAACCTCCCGAAGGGGCACGCAGATGGGCACCACGGGACCCTGAAAGCGGCTTCCAGCGAGCCGGTCCATGCCGCGGGCCGCTCATGGCATGCGACAGGCAGCACCTACAGCAGATACCTGTCGGAAGATTCCTGAGCCCCAGTTCAAAGAGAGAGGAATGCTCACAGGATGTGTTGGAAGCAGGCGAGTCAAGTGATGCTCGAAGCTGCGAGGCCATGTGTTGGTCAGAGGCGGCGGTGAAGGGCAAAACTCCACCGGAGCGCGATTCCCACACCGCTGTCTACCTCGCAGAGCGGGAGCAGATGCTCGTCTTTGGGGGTTGTGGTGCGCCCCTGAGTCCGCGGCCGCGCGGCCGCGCCAGGGTCCTTTTTTTGGGAAAGCCTGCCACACCCTGCAGCTTGAGCCGAGGAGTAGTAGGAGGACGCCAAAGCTGCACCGGCCCCGGGGGAACGGGCCTCTGTCGAGCCAGAGTTGCGATGTTTTTGCGAGCGAGCAGCCCTGCTTGAGTCTTCAACGATCTGTGGACCTTGGACATGAAGGAGAAGAAGGCGCGAGAATGGAAGCAGACCCGCAACGAGCACGAGGTTTGTTGATTGCATCATGCCCTGAAGTGTGGTGTTCTGCGCCGTATAACCTGTGTGCGGTTGACAAATTCAGCAGATTCTCAGCATGGGCTTTTTGCTGGGCGGCTTACCCGGCTGCAATCCCAATATGACAGCCTGAACACTTTGATGCTAAATGTCTATGCAAGACTCTGACGGCGGGGGCGGGTCCATTGCATGAGAGTCGCGAAGGGCTGGTAAGAGGCCTCGCAGGCAGCGCAGGCGTGAAGTCCCAAGACGTCGAGCCTATGTGTAACCGGCAGTGCGAAGCTGGGATCACGAGGGTTCAGATATTTTTAGCAGCATGGGCGGAACACACGGGAGCATTCTGGCGGGCTTTTGTGAATGATTCTATATGATTCTATGACTATGCATGGTTCAATCGTCGTCATCATGATGACGAGTGCTACTGCAAGCCCGGCACAATGCCGCGTTGTTGCCACGTCTTTCCGGGTTATTCCTGAGACGGCACGATCGCGGGACAATACCACTATCTAAATCTAGTGCCCGAGACGGATTTCAACCTGTGCTTGGAACCTGTCCAGCTCACCTTATCCGGGTCCGACAGGCGGTAGCTTCCGCCACGCTGCGGGGAGCGATGGAGAATCACAACTCCGCAGCCTTGGAAGAAGGCGAGCGCCTGGGGCTTCCCGTCGAGGCCGGAAGGCTTGCTTTGAAAGGTGACAGTCGGAACCTCGAGCTGGCCTGGCCCAGACAGCGTGGGTTTTGTTTTAGTATGCTCGGATCCGAAATATAGGCACCCTGGCGGACAAGGGGTCCTCTCGGTAATGCTGACCTGACGAGGTCTCGATTTTTCCCACAGGTGGGTTTTGTTCGGGGTTTGTTGTCTCAGGATACTGGGGGTTTGCCAAGCCCTGGAAAACCTGCATGCTCGGTGGTTGAGAGATGGAGGTGGCATCAGTGAGCCCGGGAAATGCTCCGCATGCCACCAACCAGGCAGTTCCCGCCGAATTTCCTTCGTGTGCAGAGAGCACCGTGGCGTCATCTTATCGGGTTCTCCTGCTGTGACAGGCGGAAGATGCGGAGGCTAAGCTGCGAGAAGCGATGGACGGAAACGACTCCGCAGCCCTGGAAGACGCCGTCAGAGAATGCGAGCGCGTGGGGCTACCGGACGAGGCCGGAAGTGGGCCGCTTTGGAGGGGGGGCAAGCGTCGAACTTCGTGGTTGGATGCCAGGTCCTCTTGGAAGCTTACGAAGTCATGCCGCGAGTGGCCACCCCGGCTAGGAAGACGGGTCTTTTTGGGCCTTGCGTCCGGCAGGCGGGCGCTTTTGGTTCTCCGCGCGCGTTTTAACTCAGGTGGAGGCGGCGCAGAGCCTCGTGAAGGCGATGGGCGGCCGCGACCTGCAAGCGCTCCAGAAGGCCCTTGAAAAGGCCAAAGAGCTGAAGGTGAACAGCAAGGCCGGGCCGAGAAGAGAGCGCTTGTTCATGGTGCTCGGATCTGAAAAGGGGGGAAGGGGGTGTTTTCGACTGTCAACGAGCATACCAAGCACCGCATGGCGGGAGTGCAGGTTCTCGTCGCTGGACACCGTGTGGGAGGCTTAGCTTGGCCACTGAATTCCTGAACAAGTTCGCCAGCCGTGGCAGTCAGTCGCCATGGGTCTGTGAGTTCCATGGCATGGCATGCATTCTGTGGGGTGCTGTTGATGCGAAGTTCGGCATCGTTGTTTGTGGCACAGATAGTGGTTCAGGCTATGCGGGTCATCCAGAAAGATGCCGGAGGAGGTGACCAGGCCGGCTGCCATGTAGCTGGAGCTTCGGCAAGCTTCTGCCATCATGTAGTCCTGAGGATGTCGAGCCAATCTACCACTCCAAGAATGCCCTGCGTTGAAGCACAAACGCCCCGCTTTACGAATACCGAGTCCCTCCACCCAAAGGTAACTATTCCTGGTCTGAAGCTCAACAACTGTGCATCCCATGGAACATCTCCAATCGCAGTCTCACAGCTGTCAGCCCCAGGGCTATGTCGGACCGACGTTGAAGGAGGCCCTCAAGAAAGATTGAACTGATGGTTTTGGAGTTTACGCTATGTTGCGGCGAGTGTCGGGAGAAGTAAGTACTTCAACACAAACCATATTCTGAAGCACATTCTGTCTGTAAAGGTTTCCGGAAGCCACAAGACCGAAAATTTTCATGTGCTTCGATCGAATCTGCTTAGTTAAAGTTAAAAGAAAAAGTGTGTCTTGATCTGGCAGAGCATTGCATAATAGGCGGAAGTGAAGTGGACTCGTCCTATCAGGTGGTGTTGCCATGCTCTTTCACGCGGGCCAGCCAAAGATGCAGGGGTTGTTACAGACAGCCGCCTGATGTGTTCTCGTCAGGCTTTGCCAGACGGTACAGATGCCGTGCCCGGCATGTTCTCGGCGCGTTTTGATGGTGGCGAGATGGAACGGAAGTTTCGGCGAATCCACAGGATGCTGCAGGCACGGCTTTCATGTAAATGAGCATGTTCAGGTTGTTCTTACCGAAATCTCTCGAGAATTTTGGATTCGAAGCATTTGCGACATAAGTGACGCAACCTGGAAGGACCACAACTTTCCAGTGCGGATGGTCGCAGCTGGAGGTGGTGACGATTTTGGCAGATCTACAATGAAGTATTTGAACGAGCTTGAGGAGAAGGGTGGCGTGCTGATTTGTGTTTGCACGGAACATTATGCTGAGAAGACCAAGTCACCCTTCAGCTCTTTCAATGAGTTAGAGTATGCACAAGACTACAGTCTGGATGTTCTGCCGCTGAAAGTGGCAGATGTTTATCCCCCACGACCGCCAAGCGGTCCACAGCATCCGCACGACAAGGACGGCGAAGCACGGTCCGTGATCAAGATGGTCTTCAGACCCAACGTCACGTTCACGGACCCTTCGGTCCCGTCAAGAAGGCTTTCCTTCTTTTCAATCTCGGGAAGATGCTTTCGAAGGAGATAACCCGACTTGTGTTGAAACTTGTGCGAAGAAGAAGAAGCCTTATCACACTGGGCGACTCAGGACTGCTGTCAGCTAGACGAGATGGCGATTGCGCGAGTGATCGCAGACAAATTGCTGAAGAAGGGGCAGAGCCTCGCCTTGAGATGTTACTGCAAATTGGCGACGACCGGTGTTATCGGTAACAAAATCCCCACCCCGATAATATAGTCCCTCTTTCAGCAAAGTACAGTATAATGTCTTTTAAAGGCCCCCTAGGCCAGGTTTGGAGCCGCCGGACGTTAGAAGAGAAGCTGAGGCAAGCCGCAGGACACGGATGAGAAGTCAAGGCACGCACTGCGCATTGGAGACCGTTAGGGTTTAGGGTTTAGGGTGCCTTCATAGCTTACGAGAGCGTTTCACCGGAAAAAGGGTAGATCATACTTTCATCATCGATGATCTAAGGGATTTCTGGTTTTAGTCTCCAGCAGCCCCTTAGCCGGCAGGGGACGATCCTCGTTGCAGTTTCGGGACCCGTAAACCCTAAACCCGTACACCCTAAACCCCTAAACCACTAAACCACTAAACCCCTAAACC